ATAAATAAACACGAGCTACGACATCAAATCGAATTACAAAACAAAACGTCACAGAATTTTTTCAAATCCGCAAAATTGAATACATTACTTTTTAATCAAATGATTCATCATACAAGCGAAACAGAAAACATGCTTAGCTCATTGGATACGCTAGCCGAAAAAATATCACCTGGTTCAGGTAAAAGTAGCCCAAATCAACAATCAAACGATGCATTAGGTACAACGACAACAACGACGACAATCACATCCAGCGCCAACAACATCGGCCAACGAACACATTTTAGCCAAAGCATACATCCCTATCAGAAAGTGGAGCAAAATAATAACAACACTAGCAGCAACAACAACAACAACAACAACAACCATAACCATAATAGCAACTTAGTTCGCGAACTGTAAGTACTTGTTCATTTGCTCATTTTCATTGTATATGTTTGGCGTGAATGTCACCGCAGCCACAGCTGTATATTTCATTGTGATGATGTGGTGAAGTGCGAGAGCGCTGACGTTCGATATATACAATATTATTTTGTTGTGTGCGTTTCATTTTTTTGTTTTGTTCTATCCTCATTGTCTATTATTCGATTCATTCGAATTGTGGTTGTTCGTAATCTAATCAAACAGTGAAAAGATATTGGTTTTATATGCCGAGAGTATGTGTGCAACTGTTTAAATCGATGACAGTACAAAGAAAGTGAGAAAAAAATATGAGAAACATTGAGAATTCAAACACCTCATTGTTTATCACACTCTCTTCACATACGACCATATGCATTAATAAACAGAAATGACGAAAACCACTTGCATCACAAAGATTTTTTATTTGCTTTTTTTTCTCTCGACTGATAACTACGGAGAAATACACATACACGCGCATATTGTGTGCTAAAGTGAAAAACGAACATATTACATTATATTATATATCAACAGTTTTTGATTTGATAAGTTTTTCCATTCTCTCAATCATATATGTGTCGCTCGTTTTTATGATCGCTTTAACACGAACCAAACATGATTACATATGAACAAAAAGAGGAATGATTTGTGTCGTCAACATGAACCAATGGAAATGAATCGAAACGAGAAAGAGTCACATCGAACGAACGTTCGAAAAAAATCATGTACACACAAAGTGTATTCCATTTAACTTGCAATATGCGATGATGATGACTCTCTAATTCAAATATAGTTTTAGTATGTGTTTTCGGTAATAATAGCATATCTTACAGCATATCGATGAGATATGCTGTGGTGGTGTGAGCGAATGTGTACCGTGTGTGACCATGCAGTAACCAAATATTTGCACTAGACATACACAGGGAGTAGAGACGTACACACTCAAAAATAGCAATAGAGTGACATTGTCATTCTTCCGCTCTTTTTGGGTTCCGGTTATTCCGGAGCTGATCAATTTCCCGAAAATCATCATAAAAAATTAAACATCGAATAATATTCATTGATATTCTGAGGCGATTTGCTGGTGAAACAATAACAAAGAGAATAGCATGATCCGAGTTGAAGACGCGCACGAGTGATACCGATATCTATATCAAATGTAGATTGTATGCGAAACAAATGTTGTGAACGATGAGAAATGGATTGGAGCCGTCTGGTTGACTAGCTACATGAGAAATGGGGGGCAGACACGAGCGACAACCAATTGCTCCATTTGAATCAATTAAATGACATTATTTCATCTCGGTTCGGATGACTGATGATGATGTGATAGGTGGTTAAGGCAATAAGCTGATAACTGATAAAAAATTCAACGGCAAGAAGAAATTCATTTTTGTGGCCGTTAACATCTCAATGGATTGTTGGCGACGTATATAGACACTCTATCACACACACACACACACACACACACACACACACACACACATTCTCTCTTTTTCTCTGTGTGTTTCAAACATACTTTCTGATTCTGGATCCTTTTGAATGTCTGTCTCTGCATTGGAATTGACTTTTTCAGTGCTGGCGTCGTGTGTTTGAGAAACGCATTTGAAATTGTTGTTGTCTGTCATCGTTGTCGACATCATCTTTACCTACTAAAATATACATGAGGAAATGAGCATTCATTCTTCGTTCGACTGTTCGGGGTCTCTTTTTCGGGGTGTGTGTGTATTGAGTAGCTTTCAAAATGTGCTTCACTAAATTTCACTATGGATAAAATGGAACATGAGCATGGAATGAGAGTGAAAGAACTTGAAGACAGTTTCGACATTCGAACTTCCGACATTATTACATTGAATATAGAGTATTATGAGAGTATGGGAAAACCGAGAGATGCATGCATATGGAGCAACAGCCACCCTCAAACCTATAACCCATTTCAATGAATAACTTTTTCTGCTTCAATAATTTAGCGATTGTTTTACGGTTTACCTGCTTAAATTGAATTCAATTTAATACTTTTCGAATTGCGTTTGAAAAACGATAATTTGATAAAGGGTCTCTTTTGCTGTTACGCATATTATTTTTATTATATGGATATTAGATTGTTGTCGATGAATTAAGCAAAAGAGCCAGTTGCTTTTGAATGGATGTCCTGACTTCGTATAGATGTGTATATATGTGTGTGTGCGATGGAAATCGATTTGTAACGATTACGTTGGCAAAAATAAATAGAAAAAGCAGCAATGGTTGCAGAGCCTACGGTTAATAGCCGGGTTAAAAAAGCATAAGTATATTTTTATTCGCAATGTATTGATATGAGCGCTCAACCAATAAATATTGTACGGTTTTCTCATGGAACAAAAAAAATACTTATCCCGTTATAAAATGATGTCGATGAATGAAAAAAAGAAGAAGAAGAAGGGGATAAAAAAGCCAGATTCAGCCATATTTTTTCCCTCTCTGGCTTCTAGAGCCGTGTGCGTTCATGTGTTTTAGCCAGGCTCTTTGAATAACAGCAACATCAGCTCGTATCATTTACCTTCATGTTGTATTTTTCATGCTTATTCATACAAAAGAATCGCTTCACTTCATGCTTTATATGGCAGCTTTGTGTGCGATACAAGTGTGTATGTGTATGTGTGTTTATCGCAAAAGTGCGGCCACGCTAAATTTAGGGAGTTTATTTTCTGTGCCTGTGAGCACTGAGCAGAGTCAGTTGTGCGTGTTCGTTTGATAATTTCAACATAATTGCCGATTAAATTTTATTTGATGAATGTGTTGTAGAAAAGAGTCGTCGTTCTCGTCGTTGGTAGAAAAAAGTGCAAGGCATCGGCAGTTTACGACGTGTCGTCGATTTTTATATTTTGCTTCATTTTGTTATGCCACCGAGCCGTGACTTTAATGTTTGCTGGCTTGTGGTTTTTCAACCAGCACTTTGGCATAGTTTTATCGAGATCCTCTCTTTTGCTGTAGCCACTCGGTTTTCACGTTTTCATTTACTTTCTGGTATTATAACAGACCTCGTGAATGTTCGACACATACAAAACGTAGAAAAAGAGATGGAGAGAGAAAGAGAGGGAGGATGAAAGACAACGAGAACGAAACAAAAAAATGTGAGAAATTATTTTGGGTATCTGTGTGTGTATGTGTACATTAGTTGGGCTCGTGCTCTCTCGCAATCGTATCACTGCATGATGGCACTTCAACCACTTTTATCAACACACTAACTGCCTGAACTAACCCGAAATACAAAATAAATTTTCTGCTTTTTACGAGTATTTAGCCTTTTTTATATGCAGTGTCAGTAGCGCGCGCTCTCGTTCGTTGCAAAATGTGCATAACGGTAGATGCCAACCAAACAAAATTAACTCATAGAATGAAAAGAGTAGTATGTGCAAAGCATACACACAGCTCACACCGAATAGAACAGAAACGAACGAAACAACAGAACAGATCGGGCAGCAGCACAGAATCACCAGCACCAACACCAAAAGTACAGTTATAGTTGGAACAAAATATAGAAGAAACAAAAAAAAACACAAAATGAATTTTAAATCGGATAAAAAAGAACCCTCCATTTCATGCAAAAACACATAAAAACCATGTATTTTCAAATGAAATTATGGCTTGAGTGCGATTAATCAATTCAACTCAGTGCATCTCGCCTACAATGGTGTCGCATGAAAACATTGCATTTTTCTTGCATTTACTAATAGCATCACACACGCAGAGAGCGACAGAGAAAGAGATATACCAATTTTTGCTATGATATAATTGACACTTGCACATAACTCGTTCATTCATTCAATTGCTTACTCCCTCGCTCGCTCGCCCGATCTTACTTTGTATGTACGACCGATAGAAAAACTATCGAATTAGAATGAAATGCACGAAAATCACATTGATTGGGCATTGTGTTTATCGCAAACAATTCTTAACCGTCTTTTTCTTTATATTCACACACTTTGTAATTTGACGACGACGATGCCGTCTTTTTTGTGTGCCCGTCTCGAGACTTCATCTCAATCGGACGTTTGCTGCGGTTGTTCGTTCTAATTCGCATTGAGATTCTCTTATTACCGTGCGATATTGTTTGCCGATGCTAACTTCACCGAGATGTTGGTGTTATTTTTTTTGCACCTCCGCATCGATTCAAATTCTCATTGAATTTTTGCCCAGTCTGGACTCTCGTATCTCGCTCTAGTCCATTGTTCAACTGCAATAGTTATACATAGTGTGTTCTTGAGTGTCCCTCTATGTGTGTGTGTGTGTGCTCAGTATTTGTGGCATTTATTGCTGCATACCATTGCTAAAATATATTGGCTGCAGACAATGATTTCACAATGCAAGCAAAGCGCGCATAGCCAGTCTGCGTTTGCTACACATACAAACAACTCAGCCAAATCGAATTCAATGGAAACGAACCGAAATAAATGATTACCGTTTTGTCGATTTATCTGTGAGCACACGGACGCTTGAAATACCACACTCACTCTCGTTCATACACAGGTTTTCTCTAATCTTCTTCTTCTTCTTCTTCGTGGATTTTTTTTCTATCTGGCTCAAATACGGCTCTCATCTATTCGGTGTGCATTGCATTGTTGTCACTTTATTCTATTTTTTGAACTCATCGAGTCAACATCGATTTCGCCAAAAAAAAATCCGATTTTATCCTGAGAGTGTGTTATTATACGGTCTTACAGTTTTTCTTGTATTATATTATATTAGTGACATTATTCAGTTTTTTTGGTGGTGTTCATATCATTCATGCCCGTTTCGTTTTGTATGCAGTGGCAGCATCATCGGCAGCAAAAAACCAACAAATCAAAATAATAATATATATATATATAAAAATTCGCACATATCAAATCCATTTAATATTTTTGTTCGATTTATAAACGTGTGTCTTTTTACTCTACCTCGTGTTGGTTGTGGAACGAAAAGAATCCGAATTGAGTTAGACGTCCGCGTGCGCGTTTTTTTTTATATATGATTTTATTTTATTTCCCTTCAATCGACACACACACACAAACACATACATACATATCATCTCACACGATTTACCGTATTTTCGTGCATTTTCATATTGTATCGTGAATGTGTTATTGACTGGCTGAATGTTGTGTATGAAAAAGCAAAAAAAATATAAATAAATAAAGAATATATTTGGGACAATTGATCAAATTCGAATTGCGACAACGACTCCAGCAACGACGAAAATTACCGCGCATTCCATCATTTAAGTAGCGGATGATTTGAATTTTTTTTTTTCACTTTTCAATTTTATTGTATGTGTTTCGCGCGCTCGCTGTTTTTATTCATTGCATATATAGTACGTGGCGACGAGTTTGAAAAAGAGAACGAAAGTGTTTTTCAAATATTTTGTGTGTAAGGCCTCTCAACAGGCCCCCTCACTTCACGCGTGTAGTAAAAAACATACAATATATCTGAGCGCGTATTTTTCATTTGTCGTTTTTGGCCATTAAACATTGAACATGCTACCGTACGCTGACAACTCGTATCAACCGGAACGCATTTCCATTTGCGATGAAAAATCGCTAGCAATGTGGGACTATTACAACGGAATTGTAAATAAATACGATTTATTCGGCAACCTGTAAGTATATTGCCATTCATTTCTTGTCTTCGTTTATACCATACAAGCGTAAATGTGTAACGAGTGCGTTCTCTTTCACACATTTTGCCATGATGAGTGTGCGCGCGTGAGCGCCAGTGTAAAATATCCAAATTGAATATATCGGCAAAAGAGATTTCCCTTCATCGATTGTCGGTGCACACGTTTATTTCGATTTGGAAGAATGTGACTGGTTTGGTGTTGTAAGAAATACACACGCACACACACACACACACAAAAGAGACCCATTCCATTTTCTTGGAAATGCGCTTACAGTTATTCTCGAATTCTAAGAAGGAAGAGAGAGTACATTTTAGCTTCTAACAATTATTAATCATTCGATAGTGTGTACAAATGTGTACAGGGCAAAGAAATGTGCTCTTGTCCATCGCTTCGTTCCATGTGCTACAGCGGCAAATGCATTTTATTACATTTTGTTCATTTTTTTCATACCTTTTGTTCCGGCTTCTTTTCCACTGAGCTCCTTCACTCTCGCTGTCATCTACTTTTTTTCTCTCTCATTGTCTCTACGCATTGAATAAATATCTATCTTATTGCAAATTGGATCCCAGATGCATACACACACGAACACATACATTCACTTGCTCGCTCGTCCGACAATATTCTCATCGAAAAATAGAAAGAATTTAATCTATTAAAAGCAGCCGCTATGAAATGGACCTCGATTGCATGCAAAACAACAACAAAATATCATATTTGTATCAAGCGATACCTAGAAAATAAGCGAAAAGGACAAAATAATAAGGCAAAATAGATATTCAAGACGGCGACAACGACGACGATGAAATGGAAAGAAAAGGCAAAGAAATGTTCAATTATTTTATTTTTTTATATGTTGCTGCTTCTGCCGCTCGTTTCGTCCATTTTTTTTCTTTTCATTTTCGTTTTGCTTCCTATTCTCGCTCGCATTCTGTGTAAGTCTTCGCGATAGACATTCTTTTTCAACGTAATCATGTTCATCGTTCGGCAATACTATATATACGGTTTCTCGATTGCAGTTCAGCTGCTGATGCTCTTTTCCGCTATTATTTCGTTCGCTCTAGTTTTTTTTTTCATCAACTATTTGTTCATCTTTTTTCCAGTAATTTTTTTTATATTTTCTAAATCTATTCTTCCCGCTCTGCCGATTTTACATATTATTTTCAGTACGTTACGTTTACTTCTGTTGTGTTTTTCATTCTCTCTTTCTGTCTTACGTTCTTTCTTCCATGTACGAACGCGCTTTCTTCTTTTTTGCGCTACACATAATTTTTTGTTCTTGTTCATGTTCATTTATGCTCCTGCACCGGGGAGCTCTCCGTATCATTTGGCCTGGCGCTACATTCGATCTGTGTATGTATACGCGAAAGACAAAAAAAAGAAATAAAGCTACGAACGAAATCGTATCCTTCGCTGAGTTTTATGCAATGGCGCTACTATATTCCGTCTATGATTTTTCTTATGGAAAAGTTTTTTTTTTTTTCATATTCTTTTGTGTTTTTGCTTTTATTCTCATGTCTATGGTTCGTCTTTTTGTTGTTTGTGATGTGTACTTTTTTGTTTGGCTTGCCCTTTGAACGACACACAACAATATAACGTTAACCATACGCCATCCATACGCAACATAGAAGTCTAGAAGTATTGCATTGTCTTTTGTTGCTTTTTCGTCGTCGTTGTCATTTTATCACAACAATTACTAGGGTGACTCTCGCATTTGCAACGTTTGTGCAAAACATATCATACACAACGTCTCTTTCTCACACTCACACAACACATCGCCTTCATTCTGTGGCTCATTTATTTATTCACTCACTCAAATTCATTCTCATTTTTTATGTGTTTTTGCAATTTCAGCCATACTCTAACGAAAAAAAACTTTAAAAAAGCGTAAAATAAAATATGACTTACCATTTCCATTCTAGCACACTCTCGGTGTTTCTTTCTATATGTTTTCTTTTCATCTAATATTTTTCATTTTCAATTCTACCGCGCACCGTTTGCAAGACATGGTCTAGAAAATCGGGCATCGTTCGTGAAGAAAATGATTTTGGGTCGTGCGAAATGCCATCAAAAAAATTTCATCATAAAAACTCAAGAATTCTCTCGTTGTGTTGTTATGTATTCTGTTTTTTTTTTTTTTGGTTTGGAGTACTCGTTGTTCTCTCAACGGTCGCATCTTCATCTTTGATTTGCAACAAAATTCGTTGATCTAATGATGAAATTTGACCCGCGCGTGATTTTCAAAGACTTCAATGTGATTCGGTTGGTCTGACAGAGGAAAAGTGTGTGCGAAAGTGCAGAGAAATATAATTGGGAAAATTGTCGTTAAATCACTCGGTCTTTTGCGTCACCAAAATGATCGATTGTACTGGCGTCCTGGGAATTTTCTTTGACCTAGCTTGATTGCCGGTGATTATGCTTTTCCGAAAAAAGCGCGTATTTTGAATCCAATTCACCAAAAAGACACAATAAGAAAGAAAAATATATCTTAAATTTGCCATTGCACACAAGCTGTTTCGCTGAAATGATGTCTAAACAAAGAAATCACTTCGTTTTGTATGCAGAAAAAAATACCCAGCAGCAACAACAATGGGCGCCGAACCAAATCAACAAAGATCACAAGTCTCACTAGCTCGCTCAGCTTTCTCTCTCTCTATGGGTTTTTCGGCCCTTCATTATGATTTAATTTTATAAATGGCAAAATTATGCGCTACAAAACAATCACCATGAAAATTAAAGCACTATGGGCACATCTCGTGCGACAATTATTCCAGTTTTATTTGTTTGATTATTAAAATGCCGTGGCCATTGCCGGTGGGGTTCGCTTCGCTTTTGTGCGTTTTCACAACGTTTCTCTCCCCCACATAGATATGGAAAACGAGAGTCTGTCTCGTTCGTTCGTTCAATTTGTTGGCACCTTTAAAATATGCATGAGTGAAATAGAGTGTGAGCGCACGCGAGTCAGCGGCATTTCGAAAGTGGCAGATCATAAACGAATAAATTAGGAGCATAATTGCTGCATGGAATCGGTTTTTTATGCGATATGATAAAATGCATGACGATTTCAGGTCTGTCAGTTTGTGAGCGTGCAAGCGTGCGTGTACGCCATTTATGTTAATATTTCAGTTCGTATTGTTGAAATTTTTGCACATGTGTCGAATGATGATTGCTACCATAAATATTACACCCATTTTTTTCGGTTATTTTACTTGGTGCACCATAAAAATCATGACTGTATCGTTATCACCCTACGAAGTATAGAGATATATGCATAAACTCGCTCGCACACACTCACACAATGCACAAGATACAAAAATGTCCTGTCGCCACTCACCCAGAGAAGAGCGACTCAACTTGTGTGTTCCACCTTTTATTTTCTTCGTATAATACGAAGGTGGATGCGGTTGAACTATAAAAAAATGTCATCATCATCAAGATTATATACATATTCCCTTTTTTCATTTCATTTTACTTTACTACAGTTTTATTCTTATTTTCATCTGTACTATCGCCATATGGAGCACGCAGTGCGGAGCACACGTACAAATAGATTTCGTTCATTTCACTCTCTCGCTTTCTCTGGCATTTTTTTTTTTCGAATGCCGTTGTTGTTTTTGTTTTTGTATTCTTGGCTCGTAAAGGAAAATGTTACAGCCCATGTGTATTTGGATTACCCTTATACGCGAAAATCGCTCTCATTTTACTGATTGAGACAGAGAAAGAAGTCTTCAATTTGAACAATATAAAATACGGAATCAATGTGTGTACCAAACCCCCGTATGTGTGTGCAATTTTGATGAATTGAAGAAATCTTACTTGGAACGGATACAATGAGTGAGTGATTTAGTGAAAGAGAGAGAGAGAGAGAGAGAGAGAGAGAAAGAGGGAGAAAGAAATAAAGAGTGACAGAGAGACAAAGAAAAAAAAAAATAAAATGTAGAAGAAGAAAATATGCGCTCAAGATTGAGAGGTTGACAATGGCGAACCGTTCGGTTACAGGTCTTTATAATATATGGGTAAAACGCTAACACTCCACACCGCACACGTTCTTTCTGTTTTCCTATCTCTGAATTTTCTTCGTCTCCCCAGCACTAAGTGCGCGCGCTTTCACTTGTTGTTGTTTTTTTTTTCACTTTTTCTGCTTGATTTTTTACCACACAAGATGTGTGCTGTTGCTTTTCAGGCATTACGAGGTGTATGTTGTTTGCGCGTGACAGAGACAGAAAGATAAAAAGATCCATGTATGAGCCAATGCGCATCTCACCAACATTAAATCTGTCGTGATAACAGATTACGTTGTGCATATTGCATGGCATCGATTGGCAATCATGCTCATAGCCAAAAATTTCTCTCACTCCTACAATGTGATATCGACAAAAAAAATTCACATCGTTGATTCACCGTACACACAGCACTGATGAACAAAATCGAGTAGAGAACAAAATCGCGAACTCGCGATTCCATTTGTTTGGTTCGATCAGGCACGCACACGCCACTAACAATCGAACTGAAAGCATGCATAAGAGACAGAAACGCTCTCTCCCTGTGACTCGGCATTTTTTTTCTATTCTCTTCACAATCTTCGATTATAATGTTTCTAATACGATGAATATTGATAAATTTTTACCGCGTTAAAACCCTCGCACGCACATATGCACGAACACGTACAATGTTCACAATTCATAAATATTTCGCATACGTAACCATAAACGTGAATCCATCGCTTTTTTGTATCTCGAGAAGAATGAGAGATGGGGTAAGGGGGCGACGAAGACAAAGAACCAGAGTATAAAGGGAGCAATGCAAAAACGAATGTCGCCAAAATAATGGCAAAGTATTGAAAGGAAGAGAAAAACGACGATGACGACAACGAAAAAGAAAAAAAACAACAACGACAACAACGGGTAGTTCAAACTGAAACAGTGGCATAGAGCATATCCACGATGTGACACAATGTAAATAAGCTGAAGATCTCAAACGGATATCCGCTTATTGTCAGCCTCTCGAAAAATTCCTTTTAACGTGCTTGTGCTTCTTCATCATATTTTTTTATTCGTGTGTTTGTCTGTATATGCCGTTGTTATTCGGGTGTTATACACTTTTTCACCGTTCACGATATGCTAGGGTTGCTTTTTTTATTCTGTTTGCCTACAATGGGTAACACCGAGGTTACAAAAACACATATAGACAATATAACTACGTCAGCGTGGTGAAAGGAGAGAAAAACAATAAAAAAGAGTAGAATTTTGAATTGTACGGCTGATAAATAAAAATTGCACACAAGAATTATGAAAGCACTTTATTGTTTTTTTTTTCTCTTCTTTTTGTGTATACGTATATGAGTGGCATATGGAGGCTGTGTGTGTAAGGATCAAACTTGTTTTGCTTATATTTTAGGCATACTATGGTTTTTTTTCGCGTTTTGCTGTCAAGCCGCAACATTGTGTGTTTCAAGTGCATGCATATTGAAGCTTTTGACGGTGATTTTCATTTATCCCCCTTTTTTCCATTACTGACATTGTCGCTTGCTATTTGTAATGCTCCATCAAAACAATCGCAATTCACGCGCCAATAAATGACAATAAACGAAAACCAACGACAAGGATTTCTAAAACCATAAGAGCGACAACATACACATACACACACAAAGAGAATGGTAGACATGGTAGACTGTGAGAGAAAGAGAAGCAGATATTTGTATATGCCTACACTGTAATTAATTATGGTGGCAAATAATATTTGCACGACAACAACAACAATAATAATAATAATAATAATGAAATGAATACACTATACGATGACGCTCACGATAAAGACGATGGATAAAGCGTCTGAGCGCGCCGTTTGACATCTCTGTCATCAGCGCGATATTGCTTAGATTGTGATGTATGATGATAAAAATAAAATATATTCAAATTTAAAATGCATTCATTACAGTGCCACTCTCATACTGAAGTGGTGATGTGGAGATACACCTAGGGGGTAGACACGCAATCCAAAAGAACAAATCTATACGAAAAAAATATATCTCTTTAAATTATTGCGAGTAAATTATAAATATTTCAAATCATTTTGAATTTTTTCGAATCATTTCAAATCACCGCTTGACAGTTCGTGTGATACTTTACAGTGAAGTTGACTATCGATGTTTGCATGCATGTTATATCAAAAAAAATATCAAGTTAAAGAATAAAAATACAAAGAGATTTAATATTTTCGAAATGTGTTTTAACTATAAACGAAATATACTTGATTTTTGTAATTGAAGAAGGTTTTTGCTTGCTTAAAAAAAAAACAAATATTGATATAGAATTTTATGCTTTGTTTTAGTATTGTAAAGTCACTTGTCAAATAGATTCAAATCATTCAAATCACAAATGAATTACAACGAATCATTTGAATCATGTCTACCCCCTTGAGATACACATGGGCACATTTAAATTTTGACGCTGTTTCAGGTCGTGTTCTTTTTCTCTCTTTCCGTCTCTATGTGTAGGATGTGTGCCTTTCCGTGTGTATGTGTGCTGACGATATGTTCACAGTTTGACCACTGTTATTGCGAACTGTGACCACGAATACGTATACATTATTTCGAGTGCAATTTTAATGTTTTTTCGTTCACAATTTTCCATTGTTGTTCGAAACCGACCGAAAAAATGATGAGGAGGCAGGTGGAAATTGGCACGCACTAAACAAACATCGACGATCTCGCACGTTTTCGCCACGGCGTCAGATGCCATTGAATTTATTTTTGCCGGAGTCCATTGTTGTTGGTGGTAGTGGCACTGCTGATTGCTGCACTCATTTTCGATACCTCGATTCAATTTTTTTTTTGTGAATAATGAAAGGTGAATAAATGGTATTCAACATGCATTTAGACCGAGAGCATCCAAGCCACATGAAACGCTTGTGAAAAACAAGTTGAATAAAATCCAACCACACCACACCAATCAGCGTGAACAGAAATAAGCGTCGGCAGCATCCAACGTTTTACAGCAAACAGTCTCACTCTCCATTACATCGCTCATTCAAAACAACGAACCACCATCACCACGATGATGATGATGATGATGATGATGATGATGATGATGACAAAAACAAAAACTGTGATTGATAAAAGTTCACAAACTCACTGTCTCCCTGTTCATACATTGACGCTAACGCTGTCGATATATATCGAATCAAATTCGACAATGTATTTGCTCGCCATGAGCAAACCAATGCATGTGAGAAAACAGTTCGACTTCTGTTAAGCCCAATAAAAATAAAAGTCAATCACTTATCGTCTATCAAACTTTATTTTTACGAAACAAAACAAAACAACAAGATATCATTGTGGTTTGAGTTTGCCTCTGTCATCATTGTTTGTTTTTATGCTTCTATGCTTTATTCTCGTTCGCTTATCTCTCTCTCTCTCTCTCTCTCTCTCTCTCTCGCTTTCTCAATGTATCTCTATCTCTCTGTGCAGCAGTTTCGACTATGCTTGGCTTTTATCATTTTATCATTGTCGTGCATGTGCTTTTTTTCCTGTCCTCTGGCACCTCTGACGCTTGTCTTGATGATGTAAAGCCATTGCTATTCCTGCTGCTGTTTCGCTCTCTAGCTACCACTATTTTGCCCTGTTGTTTTTCGATTCGAGACAAATTTTATGGACATCGTTTTATGTACACATCATGTACGATAGCGCCCATACGCGAGCGCACAAAACTTTTGTTAAAAATGTCTAATTTTTCTTTTGCTTTTTTATTATCAGCATGATGATCGCCACTTTTTTCCCTTTTTTCTTCATATTTTTTCTCTCTCTCGCTTTTATTTTGTAATATTATTGTTGTTGGCGTTGTTGTTCTCTCCCGATTCTACTTTGTTCATAGAGTCTCTTTTTTTATTTCCATTTTCTTTTTGGCCATTTTTTTTCCTTGATACGAGAAGATTCACAGACTTTGTATACATGCAGCGCACATATCTAATATACCTGAATGAAATTGCGCTTATATTTACTTTGAAACTTTGAAAAACTTTGCATGAAAGCGATTGTTGAAAGAGGGTGCAAGAAAGCAAACTCGATGCCAACAATTGACTGAAGAAAAAAACATGAGGTAGTCTGATGAAAAGAGTGAGAGAGAGAGAGAAGGAAAGAAAATGAGATACGCGCAACCAGATGGAAATAAACGAAATCATAGATGAATTTATGTACTACCATTTATATCCTCACGTAAGCTGAAAATGTTGTGCAATGGTATCGAACCCAAAACCCTCAAAAGAAGAACAGATTGAGATAGAGCGCGCACAACAGAGAGAGAGAGAAAGAGAAATGTTTCGACTCTTGCATGGAATTAATGATGCTAAAGTAAATTACATGTTATCTATTTGTTGCTAAAACTATCAAATCATCAGTCATTCAACGAATGGGCACATTTATGATAAATAGAACCAAATGATTGGACCCCGACACACATAGCACAAATTGGACACATATGTGTGTACTGAGGCGAAAATATGTGTGTGTTTATTTTCCGGCAATGGTGGTGCGGTGACCACTTTTTCCGTTGCCTTTTTGCTTTTAAACCGTTTTTACGGCCGCTCCGAAAAACTTTTCGTGGTTGCCTGATTATGATGATACAATAATTCACAGTGCACGTTCTTAATCGGGTCTCGTTTAAAACAAAAACACCACAACCACGCAATAACAGCATCTTTGTAGCACAAAAACGCACACATAAATGAACGAGAGAGCGAAGAAGAAAAAAATAATACATAAAATAAAACTAATGAAGAGGCTGTTATAATTCCGCAATTTTCCTGCTGATGGTCCATTCTCTTCAAATGTGTGCGACACAAAAAAACTCTGAGCGACACAAATGCCGGAAAGTTCTATGAAAGACACATACCGTGCGTGTTTCGTCGCATTACGGAACTTTTTTAGATTGAATTGGCCACAAAGATTATTTGTATCTCATTTCTATTCCGTTTTAGTACGTGCGAGGGCAAAAAACCTTCATTCATATTTTCTTATCGCAATATTTCAGTTATTTTTCATTTCCATTTCTCTCTACTTTTCTCTCTTGCAATCTCTCACACACACCTACACACTCGTACATACACTTTTTTGGCTTTACTCAACTCGATGGCTCTTAATTCGGTGAGTAATTGCTTGGCGAATGTGAAACAATGCTCCAAACAAATTAATTTTCAAGAACATTTTTCGAAAATAAATTTTCTGCCATCGAAACCGCAAAATGCCATAAACTTGGAAGGTTAAATCTGTCGAGTTGACGCTGGTGATGGCGTGCGCGCGTTCGTGCACCTGAGCGCACATATAAATTTAACTTTCAATTGCGCTCTCTTTTTTTCTCTCAATCGCGTTCATGTTCCAATGTTTATACCTGGATAAAATACGCAGACTTTTGCTTCACTGCATCATCATCTTAAATTTCATTTCACAACCATTGCAAAAAATCTCGCTTTATTTTTTTCAATAAATCATCGAATTTTATGTGTGTTTTTTTTCTCTTTCAGAAACAAAAATATTATAATAATAAAATTTCACCGTGAATGTTTTTTTTCTCTTTCTCTCATCCCATTTCAGGAACAACCACAACAGTAGTAGCACCAGTCCCACGATTAATATTAACAATGCCAACAATGCCGTTTCTGTAGCCGGTAAAAAGGGCGCACATAAATAAATGGGCGCATTTAGTAACACGAATTCTTTTTCTTTCGTTTTTATTTTGATTCTTTTCGATGTTGTTTCATTTTTGTATATTATGTGCATTTTACAGTTTGAGTTTTATAAATGGCACTTTTTTTGTCCTCTGTCGCCCACCGATAGAAAGGCAAAAAGAATGCACATTGAAAAAAATGAATAAAATATATCAACTCACTAACAAATGATGAATTTTTTTTTTTCACACACATCCATATCCAGCCATCAACAACAATAACAATAACAATGTTTTGAATAACAATAACTTGAATGGTTCACCGGAAGGGCTGTGCACGAATCGCTGCGAACAACCGGATCCAGACTTTATAAAAATGTTTGTTGGCCAGGTGCCGAAATCAATGGACGAGGATCAATTACGTGAAATGTTCGAGGAATTTGGTCGTGTGCATTCGATAAACGTGCTACGTGACAAAGTAACTGGTGTCAGTAAAGGTAATTGGATTAGAATATTTTTTTTTCTCGAATTTTTCCTCTTTCGTTTAGCTTTTATGGTTTTTTTATTTGATTTTTTTTTCTCCTTCTTCTGTTGGTTGAGATTTCTGTTTATATTCACGCTATCTTCCTGTATCTCGATGGTTGCTCAATTGCAATATTTTTTATGCAGTTATTTTTTTCTTGGCAATGATTTCGGGGATGGAATTTTCGATTTGGCAGCCAATTTTAATGTTCTGATAATAGTGTGCGATGATTTTTCATTGCTTTCAATTTCGAGTAAATCGGCAAACTTTCATAAGCGACCCATACAAGCGCCTCACGCCTCTGTCATGGGAATGCTCGTGCCAATTTTTCTTTGTTGGTTTTGCAACCACCAAAATTAAATGTGTTTTTCATGCTGCGATATTTTCACGCAACATTGGAATGTTGCCGTATACTCTTTCTCTCTCTCTCTCTCTCTCTCTCTCTCTCTCTCTATCTATCTATCTATCTTTTTTTTCCCAATCTACTATTCATTTCAATTTTATTTAACCGGGGATTGCGTTGGCATATTTATATGAAAACGTCAGTGGAATCTTAATCGCGAACGCCATCTTTGGTTACATGTATATAGCTGTTTCTTTGCTGAAAATTTCACTTCAATTTACTACAATATTTATTTAGAAATATACAAATATTTTAAATATTTGTGATGAAATGCACAGAAATATACATTTTGGATGTATATGCAAATATTCATTTTAATTCTTCTTAAAAAAGAGCATGTTATACAAAACAGGTACGACAAATTTCAAATTTGCAAAATGTAAACAAGAAAATGACAGCTATTATTCGGTCCAACATTGAACTGATAGAACCGCTGTAATGCCATATATACTTTATACAGATGGGAAACAAGAGATGGCGTTGTCATAGAATTCGGACTAAAAATGTCAGTTGTAATACCGGGTTTTTTTATTATCACTTCACGAAAAAAAATAAAACAGAAAAATGTCGACTTTGCAATGGAATGTTGTGCTAACAAAGTTCAAGTTAATTTGGATGACTTTGATTCACAAAGAGGGAGGTCTGTTGCTCACGTAATGGTATTTCGTGTTGCTTATGTTAGTTGTATTGTTGTTTATTTATTGCATTTTTACAGCTACCGAATCTGAATATAAATCAACTACAGCCAAATGTTTGAACAAAAAACCAAAATGCAAGGTATGGATCACGAGGTAGAAAGAGAGAGATAGAGAGAAAGAGGACGAGCAAAAATCTCGAAATTACAAATAAAATGAAAATTCCAATTTATTAATTTAACAACTCATATCAAAGTCAATAAGATACTGGATTCCATCTCATTCGAAAAATTCGATGAAATCATGGACGTCAAATAAAGAAATTTATATACATAATTCTTCTTTAAAACTCTCTCATACTTCTACAACTCGTCTCCCCTCTCTTTTTTCCTCTCTCTTATTTCATTTATAATAACAATGCGATCCATTAATTTATTGACCAATGGAATTTCATTAAATCATCCCCGTTTCAATTCTCTTTCTCTCTAACATTTGATCGTTTTATCATTTATTATGTTGTGCATACACTTTGTAAATGTGTAAACCACACACTGTGTGCTCCATTGTGATACAAAACCTTGCCTACAACACTGAGATACGCACGCAGAGGGTATATTTATTGACTGTGTGGATATTTGTGGAATGAGATTTTGAAGCGAATATGTTTGCTGTTATCGATTTTAATCGAATATCCAACAAGCGATTGTTGCAGGTGTGATAGCAAATATTTTGCAACAAAAAAAAATACTACATCACCACCACTACCGCCGTTGCGGCCGCCAACAATAACAACAACACTATATTAAATTTCTCATAAAGTATGCCCACTACATTAAAACATTGGTTCCGCGTATTTGTATTTATCGAATAGATTTTTCCAATGTGCATTTAAATGAATTGAATCGAATGTATTAATAAAATGTGGAAATCAACATAAAAGTGATGAGGGTGGGAGCGAATGAGCAACGAGAGCGAGAGAGTGTGTGTATGTGATTTTTTTTAATAAACTGTTTTAAACATGTCGACAAATGTATGAGCAATTTCCAGCTACAAATCATACACTCATCCTTACAATTCCCGTTGGACTGAACGAATTTTATAGAATAAACTTTAGTCAGTCGGGTTTCATTATTACCATCCATTCATACTCGTTCACTCTCCATTCCCTTTCCATTCCTCTGGAAAACGTATTAATTTTGACTAGTAATTCTCACAATTTACATTGTGTAGATCAATTCAGGAGAATTCAAATGAATTTATTTTGTTACGTATCACGCTGTCTCTCATTCTACCAAACAAATTCTATTTCTCGTTTTTATTTTTCTATCGCAGCTATCATGCTGTGTGTATATATTGACATATTTCCACTCTCCTTTTCTCATTCCTGCGGCCTCGCAAAATCTGATTTATCCCATACAAATTCAAATATCGAAATTCTGAAAATGAAATTGCCTATCTCGCTCTCTCTCTCTCTTTCTATCTCGCTTGCGCACACCACCATCACCTCGATATGGTCCAAATTCATTTCACATATATTTTCCATTTGAATATATTTTACTAGTTCATTTTATTTTCTCAGCTCGCTGAAACCATTGCCATTACTTCCCCCCTTCCTCAGCTCGTCTATTTGTACATTTGGAAATCGCAATTTTATATGCTGTTAATTATGCATTTTTATTTTATTTATATTCCGTATTCCGTATTTTGTAAAATATACATTATTACTTTACATTCTACATTTTATTTATATAAATTTATATAGTTTATATATATATAAATATAGGTATGTATGTTTTTGGTGCTCTCGCGTATTTATTTATAATTCGGTCGCATGGTTTCAAGTGCTCAACGTTTCACACATACAGAGATCAATACGACGATTGCTTAGTTTTTCGGTCATTAAAATTATGCGTCGAATAGGTTAATTGCATGAACAGCAAACACGGGTGAAACATTCACATATATACATATCTTATCTATATATTCAATTTCTATACACTATATATATATATATTTTTTTTTAAATATGCTCACATCGACGATGGCATCGTACATATATTTTGCTTCGTTTGCTGCTGTGATAAATTGTTATTGTTTTTTTTTTCTCTATAAATTCTTTCTCGGGGTGAACATTTTTAGAACTGCATCATGAAGCAACAGCAGCACTTGGAGCCCGGCGACTAATCTAATTCTATCTTCCTGCCACTGGCATATATTTTATTATTGCGTATTGCATTTTACTGTTTTTATTTATTGAATATAATCCATTTTTTTCTTTATATTTAATATATATTTACATATGATTGTATGATCGTTTAAAAATGCATTTTGTTTAGTTTTTTCGCCAAACGAATCTATTTTATATTGTATATGGCACGTTTTTCTGTTCTCTCATTATAGGGTGTTGTTTTGTGACGTTCTTTACTCGAAAGGCAGCTCTAAATGCACAAGATGCACTGCACAATGTTAAAACACTGGCCGGGGTAAGTATGCTCTATATAGCATCTCTATCAATTCAATATTTTATCGTTTGCATTTGTTTTATTTCACCTTTTATATATATTTATTCTTCATTTATGGTTTTATACTATTTTTTTGTTTTTGTTTTTGCTCATGATGTCCGTTGACTAATCTTCGATCGTAACAAAAAAAAAAACGTTTTCCAAAATGAATATTGAGTGATAAAAAAACATCATTACATCACTAACCACGTATCATTTAACATACGCATTTGTTTGTCACCACAGATGTGCTAAACACTCATGAAATGTTCAGAATTTATCAAATGTTTCAAAGTACTGAGAGCTAGATGGTAAAGAGTCGTTATGATTTCCAAAATTTCGTATCGTTCTCAATCGATTCACAAAGATTGAAGAGGAAGTGAGTTCAACTCATCCATATTAATTAGTATAGAATTTTGTTCGTTTCGCCATATTGATTTTTTTATGTTTCACAACACTCGTGATTTCAGATTTGAAATTATCTACAGAGATTCATAATTATTTGTGTCTACTCCCAAACTGAAAATATCGAATTAATCTGAACTAATTAAATAATGATCTTATCAAATGTAAATGAACAAAAATGTAGTTATGAAAAATGAAAAAAAATCACTTTCATCAGGCACATTTTATTTTTTTTTTTTAAATATTTAAACACACTTTCTAGAATTTAAACACCAGAACAATTTCACGTTAAAAATTTTTTTAAATTTTTAACAGAAATTTCTAGAGTCCAGCGACTAGAAATTTTGCCAGTTACCCCTCCGATATTCTCATCAACCTTATGTGATGATTCACGATTTTATCAGGATAAATTAGTTTCATTGTTGAAAGATGAGGAAAAAAGGATAAAGAAATTCTTACCGAAACTACCATTTTTATATAATATCGTATATTTGAAGAATAATGCGGTTAGAAAATGAAATTACCCTTAAAAAAAGTTGGGACATACTTTAAATTTAACCCCTCTGAAATCCAAAACGCCAGAACTCATGAATATTAAAATGCAAGTAAATTGATTCCCGTGTTAATAAAATATATGACAGTACAGACATAAGAGTAGATGTTACGTAAGTGTTACTGAAATAAGAGAGTGTTTCCAGTCTGAGAGAAAGTGAAAACCTCCTTTTAGTTATTCACTTCCAAAATCTCATTATATCCAATGCTAATTTCATCTCTGATAAAAGTTAGGATCGAAAAAGTAATTTTTTTTTTAATTTTTAAAGAGACATCTAGAATTCTGTTTTTCATGTTGGTGACCCACAGCGGGTCCAATTACCTACAAACTCTAATCAGAATCTAGATTGGAGTATCAATAAAATTATGTTCATGCCGATATTAAAGTCCATCCAACAATACAAAGTAATTTGATAGTTGAAAATTTTGTTTAAAATATTGAAACCATTTAATTTATTTTAATTAATATTTAATGTGACAATTACTAAATTCAATATCATAGCACATCTGTATATTTTCTTCGTTTATTTGTTTGGATGAAAAAAGCTACTATTGCTATCGGTTGAAAGCGGAAAAAACGAGCGTCTGACATCTGCTTGTGTGGCAAAAAGTGAATTAAGAAACGAATGAAAATATTATGTAATCGTTTATATGTTCCTTTACAATATATTTTCACTATCTCATTCTTCATGTCGTGCGAAAATGTTGTTGTTGTCGTTTTTAAGTCTCTTTGCTCCATACCAGTCACATGTCCTGGCTACATTTGTGCCGCATAGCATAACAAACATCACAGTTAATTTACATGTGTAACATTTTCGAAAATGGTGTCTCTCTGTGTGTGAATGTATGTGTATGCCCATTTATTCGTCTATTATTCATTTGGATTTCCAATGATGCCACACATTATTATGACGTAATTTATATGTCACATGGTTTTATGCGCTTAACTTTAATACAAATAGTTTTTCTACATATATTTTTGTTGTTCGTTCGTTTTCGCTCATTCATAACACACAGACACACACACGCGTATATTCTTTGAATCGTAACTCTGTTACTCTGAGTCTTTCTCTCTTGGACCTCAAGAGTTTATTTCGATATCGCTGCAGTTGTTGTGCTATGCTGTGTTGAAGAAAAGAAAGTTTGACGGAAGTTGTTAGTCTCCACATCCGCCTTTTCTCTCTCTCTCTCTACATTTATTTCATGTATATGTAGACATATAGCACAAATAGTTTTCCATTTCTCGACACACTGTCTTCTGTTCCCTGTTTCTGATTCACTCTCGACGGCTTTTTCATTCATATAGATATATAAATGTGTGTGTTTTTTGTTCATTTCGATTAAATTTTCTTTTTTTGCTGGCATGTGTTGATATTATTTTTGTTGCTGCTACTGCTGCTGTTACATTTATTGTATCATCCTGTACGTTTTGCGTTGGGTTATTTTTCTTATATTTTGTTGTTGTTGTTGTTCTGTGCGTGTCAGAGTCTTTCTATATCTAATTTCGATGGTGCTCATATAGTGGCGCGTTTTAAGTATCAAACAGCCCCCAAAAAGTCTATTTCATGTGCGTTTTTCGCTGTTAACTTTGAATGCGTGCACTAAGCCAGAACGACAGTAAATGGCATTTCAAATTTCTCAACGACACAATGACATTGTTGATGACGATGACAACAACTACAACAACAATACACAGCTATATGGCAGCAACATTTAATTTCAATTTAATTATTCGGGATTTTGTTCTGAAAATGAATGCTTTAGCTTGAGTAAACGCGACAGAGACGATGGTTCCCATGTGTGCGTGCCGCAAAAATCCAACATTGAATAGATAATACACACACTCACACAATTTAAAGCAAACGTAAGGAATTTAACATTGGTTGGACAGATGCCGCAGTCACTGCAAATCTGGCTTTCGTTCGTTGGTTTTTTTTCTACTTTTCACGTTGTTTTTTCAGTATTCTTTCTACCATTGTCATGTATCTTCTACATTAACAGTATGTATCCATCATTCTCTCTGTATTTGCCGCCTCGGTGGAGTTTTTTTGTGTTCATCATCGTAAGTCCCCTCGCTTCCCACAGTACATTGGTTCGGCATTCACTTTGCTATTTCCATTTGAGATCGAATTTTCGCCTTTTTTCTCACAATAAATTGGACATAAGGTAAAGAATTAAAAACGACGAATCAGCATTAATCGGTTCATTTTCCGTGTTTTATTTCATACCTTTTTGTGTCGCATCCCCGACCTTAGTCGCCTCTGCTCTCGATTCCCCTTCACTACACACTGCTTATGTGCTTCTTACCATCGTATCGTATTAATGCTATCTCAGAATAATATGAGCCTCCTTGTGTTTTTTTTTTTGAGAGGCTCACCATTCCGACATTTGAAACGACAATTTTTTACCGTGAATGAGACAGCGAGACTATTATGTGTATATATTTGTTCTTTCGTCTGTTTGACTCATTCTTTTATTTGCTGTTCGCCGCACTTTCTCAACACTGACTTTGATGTACGAGAAAGTTTTATCATGCGATCAACATAATTGAAACTGCACACCGTTTAAAATTCGCATAATTGCCATTACATAAGCGATGGAGGTAGCGCGAGTGCGTATTGCGCGAAAGACAACAAAAGAAGACAACTAAAACAATCATAAAGACTTTGATATTTTTGCGAGCAAAAGTTTTGTTTGATTTGCCGTGAAAAATAAAAGCCAACGAGAGAGAGAGAGAGAGAGAGAGAGTGAGAGAGAGGGAGATAAAAGAATGAAGTAATAGCAAAGAAGGTGCGTCGCACATTTAACAAGCGCTCATTGATACAACTCAAGTCACCAAACACAGACGGTCCTGAATCAGCCACTTGAGGAGCTCATTTTCCAACAATAATTACTCAATATGTAAACATAATTGTGCGCAACGCCAATGTTTTCCCATTTAATTCAGTGCGGATTTTTCATTTACCCAACAGATTTCCTGTCTCATCATAACCAAACAACAAATTTTGTCGTTAGTTTCTCTCGTTCACAATTGATAGCATCGCACTTAAACTGACTTTTCACACAGCAAATACGTCGAAAACATGCGAAATATTGACAGCCAATATTTTTTTATTTAGTTTTTGTCTCTTGTTCTCTTTATTGAGTATTTTCAAAGCATCAGTCACTCGCTCGCCAACTTTTTCTTTCTTTGTGAACGATGGACAAAAGTGAACGGAAATTAAACTAAATGCTATTTTGTTTCATGCTTAAACAGTGGAGAGAGATGACCGAGAGAGAAAAAAAAAACAGGAAAACAAGAGTCAACTTGAAATTGAGTTGTGAGTGGTTTTTTTTTTTTCATTTTGCGCAATGTTTCAAACGAAGACTCTTTTTTAGAAGAAATAACGAATTGATACTATCTGTATTAGATTGCAATTTTTCGATACGGAAAATATGCTTTATAATACTGATGTTGGAATACAGTACACATTTTAAATGATTCATAGATGCGCAAACACATTTTCTATATTGTGAAAATTCCTCGTCAAAATGTTGGGAATTTTTCGGATTTAAACTGTTCATTGAATTTCGTATCGTATGTTCGTATTAATCTTTTTTTAGAGAGAAAGAGGGGAGAGAGAGAGAAAGATTTGAAAAAATGACAAAATAATGGTGTAATTCCGATGGGACATAGCTTTGGATGTGCTCGCAACAAACGCAAGCCCCAAGATTCAACCAACAACATGACACAAACATTCAAACTTATTTCACACTCACTCGCTGTCTCATACTACATATTTGTCCCGCTCTCTCTCTCTACAGTACAATCATCAATCTGTCTATCTTATGCACCACATCAAGTCGCCAAAATACACAGCTGCAACGAGATAGAAATCATTGGCGCACTGAAATGTTTAACAAAAGTCTTCGGGAAACTTAATCGATCTCTTTAAACTGATATTGCATTTGTAGCATTTGTGTGATTTACTTTTCTTCATCATTTTTCTCTTTTTCTCTCTCGTCGTTTTAGTATCTCTTTCTCAACTTTTTTAGCTCTTGACTCAACTTCTTGCTCAGATTGTTTATTTGCTTCGTTCATCAATATCAATACTTGAAAAATAATTTACATTTTCGTTATACTGTATTCTAGTTTTTTTTTATTCATTCTTTCTTTCGTCGTTTCTTTTCTCTTGCAGATGCATCATCCAATTCAAATGAAGCCAGCCGATAGCGAAAACAGAAATGGTAAGTTTTATTCATTTTTTTCTCTCTCTTTTTTTATATTGAATGTTTGATTCCTTTTTTCCTGCAATTTAAATAAACTGAGAGCTATGTATATTCGTGTTCTCATTTTTTTTCGTTTGCCTCTCCGAACATTCGTTTGCGTTTCTCAATGCGAGAATGTTTTCAATACCGACTTACACTTTGATTATTTATCAGGTCGTTGTTGTTGTATTCGCAATGGAAGGAACTTTTTTTTAAAACTTCAACTGCATTTCTAATTCGCGTGCATATTTCAACAGTCGCGAAACGCGGCATTCGTTCGCTCGGTTACGTTCGTGCGAAAGTTTTCATTCACTCACTTTAAAATGCGTCGACGTTGATGTTATACTTTTTTATATTGTCTACTTTTCAACTCAATGTCGATGTATAAGTTTGTGTGTTTATTTTTGCCGTAGACAATTGACATGTTGAAAAATTGTAACGATTTTCTTTTTTCGTGTATTCTCTCTGTTTTCAATACACATACACTTTCTTTCGTCATTCGCCGTTGTTCGAATAAAATCAGAAATGTAACGCATCGTTGTGTGAGTGTGTGTGCTATTTTATATATCGTGTTCGCCTCATATTTCACTCTTCAGTTAAAATCCTCTTTGGATGTTTTTTTACCACCCAACATGAATACATAAAAATATCTTTAAAAACATGTCGATTATTCTTTGGATTGTTCAAGTTTTATTTTGAAATATTGAAGTTGGTAGCTTCAACTCTTACAAGTAATTCACTCGTTCTCTGTTTCTCTCTCGTTGCACATATGCTCAAGAGTGATTGGATAGTCGGATGAACGAAAACAACAAGAACAAGAACAACAACAGCAACGAAAAAACAACATGCGATATTCGTGTCGAGAAATGCGGCATGAAAGATCTTATGAATCGCAAAATCTTCTTATTTATCGCCCCTATACACAGAATTTCAGACAGCTTATACGCCATTGTAAATCGAGCGCAAATGCGTATTTGTGTATTTATGCGCCGAAAGGAGATTTCTGCCAAAGCTCTCTTATACACAGAGAAAAAATGTCGGTCTGGTTTTTTGGCTCTTCATCTTTTTGACAAAAACATACTTCAAGTGAGAAAGAAAAATGTGTGAATTGTGTGGAAAAAATGTGTCTTCTGGAGTATGGCAGCAAGGAATTCATGTTCATTCAAAATCATGTGCATAAAATCTGTTTTTTTTTATTGCACCAAAAAGCTGGGTCTTTCATTAACAAAAAGAAACTTCATGGTCCGTACGAGTTTCACGGAGAGGAAAAAAACGCATTTCAAGTGTTATTCTTAGGATAATTATAATGGCATTTGTGTTGTCTGTAAAAGCTCTTGCACACACCCCCACACTCACTTGGAATCGGTTATGTAAATCAAATGACTTTCATAGTTTACACCACTTACCGTGTAGCGATCAAGAATTCGCTACTTTCTACAGAAATTTAATTGCATAAAATCATAGCGAGAGGCAACCATTTGTACTTTCACATGTTTTATCATTGCATTTTTCATTGCATTGCCATTCTATTGCTGTTGCCGTTGCTGCTGTTGCTGAACTAGCTAGTATAGCGTATTTTTTTCTCTCATGCAATGGAATTTTCAATTTCAATTTTCTTTCCATATTTGATTCTTTGCCGTGCATGTATGTGCAGAGAAGGAATGAAATGAAATGAATGGGTAACATACGTATTTTGATGAAACTTTTCTGTAAAGTTTAGCCAACTACATTTTTGGTTACTGTTGCTTTGTACCCAAAAAGCCGCGTTTACTAAAAACTTATTCAAGCTAAATCAACCTCTGTGCCTTTCTCTCTCTCTCTCCCTGTGTGTGTATGCATTCAAAAATCTATGCAACCGCAGATTCGAAACGAAAGCGGCAGCCACTTGCCGTTTGCTTTATCTCTTTCATTCGTTCAAGATTTTTTTGTCATATATTCTATTTTGCTTTTACTTTCATGCCAATCTCTCTTTCTTTTTCAGCCACGAAACTGAACTCTTTCTCTCTTCCATACTCTCTGTCTCTCTTTATCTCTCTATCTCTCTTAGCTGTTTTCATTGTTGCTTATATAGCAGTAGCAATTTTAATTTTCATGAGAATTGAATTTTCTCAAATTTGCAAAAGAAGAGAGAGAAAAAAGACCTCGAAATAAAGTTATTTTCTCAAATGCAATGTTCTATACGTGAGTGTGTATTTGTACGAAAATTTGCTATTGTTGTTGACGATGACGGTTCCACAATTTCAGAAGAGAAAAAGAGAACGAATGATCAGAAGGCACAAGAACACGAGAGAGTTAGGGCATTCGCCACTGTTGTTCCTTCATCCGATTTTGAAATGTGTAAATATTATTTTGTGATTTATGTGTGATGATTTTGTAGAATAAATTTTCATTTTCTCCCTTTTCATCTCTTGTTGCATATTATACTCTGATGATGTATGTTAAGCCACATACAAAAACTCAAATCGATTTACAACCGAAAAAAAATTCTCTGTTTGTTTACCATATTATATTAATGGAACGTAGGAATAAAAAAAAATGGTTATCATAATGCAATAAAAATGGAAACAACAATACAAAAAAAATCACATATTTCGATCACTCAAATATATATCAGATTCTTGCTGCTCAGCGCAATATCCATTGTATACACGAGAATGCCAGGGCAAAAAAGTACGTACGCGGACAACCAAAGAATAACTACAAAGTATGAGCAGTATTAATTTAATGATTTTCAGCGGTATTTGTTATTATTTGTCTGCGAATAAAACTACGAGGCATGATGCGAGACACCAAGTCCATGCTCTCGGTTTTGGTTCCACATTTGGTTATTTGTATACATATTTGTTTGTTTATTATTTAATTTTTTGGAGATTTTTTTTTTCATTCTTTTTTCTATCCCACTCTTTCTGCCGTTGTTTGTTGGTCATTCGGTTAGTTGACTATACCATCTCTTGAGTGTGACGCGCGTTCAGACTATTTTTTTTGTTACTCGATCGATGGAATTTTGACAGTATATACTGCTATGCCAAAACCAAACATACATATTCAATATTCATAAATAATACGCGAAAAAGTTACAGTAGAGTTTGGTCGACAGTGAGAGTGTATTGCAAACGTATCGGTTTAGCTACAAAGAATATATTGGCGAACTGCAATGGTTTTATAACGGCTTTGAATGAACGCGGCAGTGACGGTTGTGGCAGCAGTCACTGCATTGTGTGTGTGTATGTTTGGACTTGCTTATTTTTTCATACTGTACCCACATAAGTTTTATGTGTGTATATGCTAAAAAGTACCCACTTCCATCGACGCTGTCATGTCATGAATTATGCATTGAAAATTCGAACATTTTCCCAATAAATAAAAAATGTTGAAAACCATGCGAAAATCGAATACACGATATACTTCACAATATTTTTTTTCACTCTCTTTCTCTTTATTTTCTTCCAGAGGCGTCGTAAGCATTTGTGTTTGTGTGGTGGTTGAGCTCTTTGTAGTTTGTACAGCCGTTTTCCTCTTTTCCGTAATCGTTATAGTGATATGGCTATTTTTATTGAGGATTTTGCCACATGCACTTCGTTCACCAAAGTACAACGTCTTCAATACTCTAAGTTGGAGTCTCTAACCAATATTTTTTTCATCGCTTTTTTCTGTTGCTTTATGTCTTGCCTTTAACAAAAAATAATTCACGAATAAAATGCGAAAGCCAGAAAGCTGCGAGAGCCAGATAGAAGAAGTATAAAAAATGACGAAAAACAAAAAAAAAACGAAGCGAAAAACAGCTAAACGATGCAACGGTTTGCCGAAGAGAGAAAATCACATTCATAACCAATTCCTAACATACTGTTCGCCTTCCCCTCCGTCGACTAGATTTATTTAATATGTCATTTACGTATACAATTTACATAATATTTTCAAAATCTATTTTTGTCATCTAATTGAGTATGCAATTTTAAATTATCATAAATTTATACCGATTATTATTGTTATTATGTTGATTTTTTGGGCAACAGTCATACACACATAAACACGCACACACACTGTCACTAGTAACAAAAACAATCCACAGCATTTGATATGTGGGTTGAGGTTTTTGTTTGCACATGTATTTACATTTCGCATCAGAATATCGCTGCGTTTTCATCTTTCGTGAAATTGTTTCTCCATCATTACGAACACCACCTCCGTCACCATTTATTTTTGCCCACCGCACATTTTGTGTGCCGAGGGCTTGCGACGAAGTGTGTGTGTGTAGCTCTTTATCTAGCTTTCGATTCTCTACGGAAACCGAAAAATAAATCCTTGTTGAAATCAGATTGTCTCTCGACAATATGGCCCAGAATTACACTTGAAAATGCAAATAAACAACGAGCAAAAATTTATCATCTGTTTGAATTTGATGCGACAATAAACATCGTTACTACTGTCACTGCATACTTCATCGTCTTGTATTGTGTGCTTGTATATGCGCGCGTGATTTCCACCATCGTCGTTACCAACACCGCGTGTCGCACGTCTCACCCGACCACTCTCATTGGCAATACATTTTATGAGCATTTGTTCGCGAATATGCGCGCGTGCACCCGCTCACGTCATTTTCGATCGCTCAAACAACCATATCGTTATGATGACATTTTATGATTATAATTTTATTGTGATTTTTTTTCTGTCATTTTCTCTCTTTCTCTCGCTCACTCTTTCTCGTTGCGTTTTCAACGAATCAAAATGGTTGGTCGTTAGTATTTAATACGTGTTTGAAACTATTATCGTTTTATATTACTGAATAAATACATCTGAATCATTGACACAAAATCAATATTTACCCACGAAAGTTCTATTTTAATATCGCAACGGCTGAATGTGAAAAAAGGAATTGATGATAACCAACGAACAAGGAAACAACGACAAGCAGAAGAGGACACAAAACACACCGAACTGAAAAAAAAAACACAGTATCAAAAAAACGGCCACTGAGTAAATAGACGTATGAACAAACACATAAGCAACATTGATATGAATAAAAAAAAAACAAGAATATGGTTCTCATGTGCACGCAACATAATATCAGAAAATACTGACCGCCTCTTTCTCTCTATTCATTTTCATTGTTTGTCTATTCAAATGAAAATTGGTAATTTTCATCGAGGATAGAGAGAAAGAGATAGAGTGCACTCAACGAAAATGCGAAGAATCTAGGGGATTAAAATGTTGCAAAAATACAAAAAAAAAATATATAACCATCTCCTCCTACTCTCGACGGTAAAAAAAATTACACAACATTTCAAATGATTCAGCCTAAAATATAAAACATTTGCACCATAAATGAAAATGTGAATGTGAGTTTTGCTAAAGTAATATATTTGTTATCGTTGGGCTTTAGTCCACTTCCATTTATCAGAATGTCTATATTTGATTTACAATATTTGAAAAAAATGCGATTGCATACCATTTACCCAAAAATATATGACAACTAATCTACACAAATATTACCTTCGAATTGGACAATACATGGCGATGGGTGACATGAACCAAGAGATAACCACAGATAGAGATAGAGAGAAAGACACAATACATAAGTTGAAATGGTCTACAGTAGTACGCATATTGGAAAATTGGGTCTCATCGTCGTCTACCATAATGTTGAGTGATAGAAGCCCCTAGAGATAAATAAAACAAATTACATATTGACCGTTAATAATACAATTGAACAAACATCTAGTCTAATATTGTGTATTTGGTAATTCATCGATATCGATTATCGATCACTTTTTATTCGAAATCCATAATGTTGAACACAACACACGGAAACCGATAGAAACACATATACGACAAATGACTTTCCGGACTTATAAAATGAAAACATGGATCTGGCATTCATTTTACCTTTTGAAAAATGTTCGACCGAACAAAAAAAGACGACTGATTGTGTTCATCGTTCTGACTTTTTTGTGTTCGGCAACGATTTTCGGTTAGTTCGTATAAATTGTTTATGAACTTATCACTATACATGGGAAAAATTCTTCAGTTCATTTGCATGTTAAAGTGCCCACTCCAATGTTCCAGTTCGTTCGTTATGCACATCAGTTCGTTCATGGGCACTAACAAAAATTTGCCACTCGCACAAACACAAATTCACCGGCCTCACTTCGTTTATGAATTCAAGTGCCTTTGTGAATACACAACAATAAAAATGAATAAAAAAAGCGTATGAACGAACACATACATAAAAAAGACCCTGTGTACTGAACAGGAATATAATGAGTGGATACAACAATTACGAGTCTTACAATTTTCGAAGCTTTCACATTTTGTAATAAATGACTTCACAAATAATTGATACAATGAGATATGGTATGATAGGCGGTGAGTGGAAGGGCATAAAGAACGCGCAATGAAAGTGTATATACATATAACTACTATCCATTTTTTTCGCTTTTCATTCTTTCGATTTTTCCGTTGAGTTGTCGTTTTGTTATTACTTTGACTTGTTCCTTTCCATGATTCATACGCGGGGCTGACCCAAAGAGTTCTTGACTCCTTCCCTATCTCTTTTATTTCTTTTTTTTTTAATTGTATTATTCACGGTGGATAACAATGCTAGCGGGTTGTGTTTTTTAACATTCGTCCAATGTGCCTATCTTATTGTTTGGTTCATTTTTTTTGTTCAAGGCACTTTTTTTTGTAACTGTTCTCGTTTATCTTTTTACGGAGAAAGAAAGCGAGAGGTCATTTATTTCATTTTTATATTGGAAACGTGTGTAGAAGAGTGACTTGTTTTTATTTTAAGAAATCGTTGTACGTACTGCATATTAATATGAGTAATATAATATGTGAGACACGGTATGTATGAAACGAGCTAAGCTTCGTGATCGCTTTTCAAAAGCATTGTAGATAAAGAAAAAATATATACATATATTTATGAATTATTGGCAAAGTTGATGAACCCACGACGCAAACTCTCCGCGAGTTTTATTTCTTCATTCACAAGTCCGCTATCTTAGTATGTATTCTTCAATTATTTCGATTTAAGGCGTTTTTCGATGCAAAAGTTGAAATATACGACAAAATGCACAACAACAGCAACTATTCAATCGCATTTTCTTTTTCTCAATCCATCGAAATATACGAAAACAATGTTATCATATAGGATAACAAATATGATTTGATGTCAATTCTTGTCATTAGTTTCATTTTTCGGAGTCTGAATTCATATTTCGTATTGGTTTACAAAAATAAGTGCTGTTTGCACGCATCTTTTTTTGTTCTTTCTCGCTCTATTTAATTTGTTTGCTTGAATATGTAACGCGTTGATGCGTTTTTGCTATTTCCTTTCATCTTTTTTGTTTGTTTGAGGGGGATTCGTTGCGTTGTAATCGAAGTATTGAATGTCTATCTAATATTCTTTGTTTTTTTCACCATTTTTCTATCTTTTATATTTTCGCTGTCCGTCGGTGTGTTCCCAAAGAGCGTAAACTGTTCGTTGGTATGCTGAATAAAAAATTGAACGAGGCCGATGTTCGCAAATTGTTCGAGAAACATGGCCCGATTGAAGAATGCACGGTCTTACGTGATCAAAATGCACAAAGCAAAGGATGTGCATTCGTAACGTTCTCATCGAAGCAGGCAGCTATTGGCGCGATTAAGGTAAATTGCTCAATTCTTTCTCTTTCTTTTTATGTTTTTTTTTGCACTCTTCATATTCTCTTGCAGCCCCTATATTATAATATGTTTTTTGTCGTAAGTGCGGCAGCCCTCACTGAATAAGCTGCTGTCATCGCTATTTCTGCAAACACACACACACACACACACATTGTCGTAAATATATTCGTATTGGGTCCAATGTGAGTACCGTAAGCAAGATGATGTGGAGTGCGCGTTTTTTTGCTATGCTTTTCACCGATGTGTTTTCATATAATTCCTTTTTCCCTATTCTCTTGATCTCCATGGTTTCTTTTTTTTACGTTTTTATTTCACTTTTTCTCGACTTGCTGTTGCTTTTCTTTCTTTTACTCTCGCCTTTTTCTCTGTATGTTATGCCAATCACTCATACCTAGCGTTGAAATATTGCCGAATGAAAGGCACGCAGAGAGAGAGAGAGAGAGAGAGAGAGAGAGAGAGAAAGGGAAAGGGAAAAAGAGGGAATACAACATTGAAATCTTCAATATCGAAATGATGGATAAAATATATATAAAATATCGCTTGTAATATGAGTTATTTTGAGAAAAGAAAAATATGCAATGCTTTGGAAAATGAAATATAAAAAACGGACGATGAGAATAGCAGAGTACAACAAAAACAACAGCAGCAATAAAGCAAAAGAGAAGAAAATAAAGAGTCTTACGGGAGTAAGACGAACTTTTCCGCACTGTGGTAGTTGTGTATTTTATTAAGAAAGTTCAAAATAATATTTGTTCGATTTTTCAAGCCTTTCAAGCGGCGTAAAGTCCGAGACCAAAAAATATGTTCCAACTTTGGCAACGAAATATTCTTTGATTTAATAGCAGAAGTACTCGAGAAAAGATTTTTCACACTTTCATGATGAACCCATTTGTACGACATTTGAAAGTATTCTATTTCTAACAAAACACTATAAAAAATATGTCTGACGTTAATTTTGCCATGAAAATTATTTTTGAAACACTTTTCATAACTAAAGTCACAAAAAATTTGGATTTTTATATGGGAGTCATGTCTGTATGCTACCTTAATGGTGTGAAACTTTGCACAGGCTATTTTTCTCACAAAAAAATAACATTCGGAAGGTTTGGAGAAATTTTAAGCAAAAGTAAGAGCCCCTCCCATACAAAATATTCGTTTTTGATCCAAAAATTGAAAATTTTGTATGAGAGGTACCCCTAATTTTGATTGAAATCTCTTCAAACTTTCAGAATGTTATTTTTTTGTGTGAAAAATAGTCTGTGCAAATTTTTACGTCATTAAGGTAGCATACAGGCATGGCTCCCATACAAAAATTAAATTTTTCGCGATTTTTTCAAAGAAACTCTGTTAAAACTTAATTGTATCTCAAAATAAACATCGGATTCGGTTTTCTCGTGCCAAAAAACCCCCCAATACATATTTTTGAGTGTTTAAGTCTACATTAAGTATGACTTTTCGACGAAAATTGGACTCTTTTTCATAGGTATCACTACAGGCATGAAATTTTTTTCCATCGACCAAAGTCGCTCAAAAGCTAATGATTTCTATTCCTCGGGACCCCCAATCATCCCGTGAAGTCAGATTTCAAATAACTTTTCTGGGGGGTGAGATAATCGATGGACAAATTTTGCGTACGGCGGACAACGTACGACGTACGACGTACGACGTACGACGTACGACGTACGACGTA